TGTTTGTTGATTTGAAGCTTTTTGAGGCAGAAGGAGAGCTATTGCAAAGTTGACTTTTAGCAGGAGAATTCAAGATTGCATTCAAGACTAAATTACTTGAAACCTTATGTTAATAATTTAAGTAGTTTTAATAAAATTTTAAAGTGTATTAAAATAATTTCATGCTTTTGTGGGTTTTTTAATCAATGCTTCTAAATCATTTTGTTTTAATTTTTCCTTGGTTCTTGTATCTACTTTCTTAGCAATAACATCAATATAGTGGGATTTTGTTGGTTTATAGGGTAGCGTTGTCAGTAATGACTACAACAGCAGCAGGAAGTTTTAGCAGAACCAGAAGGCAGACAGAAAAGCATGTGGCTCAACAGGATACAGAAGGTTTGTAGCAGCTGGGAGGTAAGCTGGGTAAGAGCAGTTGTCCAGAAAATGGTGATGAGATCAGAGAAACAGCTGCAGAGGCAGGAAATAGTGCTTGCAACCATGAAACCTGAATAGGGGAAGCTTAATATACAGAGAAGATCAGAGGTTTTTCAAGACTGGAAAGTCAGGAAAGAGAAGGAAGAATTCTGGTGAGAAAAGGGGGAAATCTAGATGATGTAGAATGATAAAGAACTTAGATCCAATGTGGAATATTTTAAGAATCAGTAACTACTGAGAGTTTCTGATCACAATGAGAGATGCTGGTACCTGGACCCCTTTCTTAACAGAACTATGCTTTTTATTAGTATTCTACTTTGCAGGAGTTTAATTAAAGAAAAACTACAGCATCCTGGGGGGTACATATACTTCCAGATGCTTCCTTTAGTCATGCCATACTGGGCAACACATTTAGTTTTCCAAGTTAACTTCATTTAACACTAGTCAGTGTTATTGCTGCCAGCTATCAGTACTGCACTAACTTTCAGTGATGTTAACTTGTGACCACCAGTGGGTTGTAAGTTGTAAGCGTGTTGGAGCATGCCTTGCCTAACAATAAGCAAGCTGCCCCCTGACAGGCAGGCAGTAATACACTTGGAGCAGATGGGAAGCACTGGTTGTACAGTGAGCTTACCCAGCAGTGAGGGCAAAGGGAGACAGAAAGACTGTGAGCCTGTGGAGGGAAGAGGAAACTGAAATAGACATTTCATTAAAGCAGCACTTACTAGTTGGTTATGAAGCATAAGGTGCCCCAGGAAAATTTCCTTTTTGAAGTTCTTTATTCCCTTACTTCTGAATCTGTTTGCCAAAAATTTTTCTCAAGACTGGAAAAACACTTAGACCCAGAGTTTGACAAATTAAAAAAGATGACATCAGAAAACCAGAAAAAACTATAGAGAAATCTGTAATCAATAGATGGGACACATTCTACAGATTTTTTTTTTTTTTTTTTTAGATGAGCAGTCACAAAACAGATCAAGGCAAATATAAGATTTTTTTTTTTTTTCCAAATTTATATCATAATTAAAGCAGACTGCCAACTGGTATAACCTTCTCTTCAGTTAGGTTACAATACCACCAGTATCAAACAACAGTTGGAGGTGCTCATCAATAATAAACAGTAATACTGAGCAGTAGTTCAGATGACAAGTGAAATTAAACATAAAGAACCATCTGCTGTTTCAGCGGTCTTCAGAAATATTAATTTAGTTAATCACTTGAACTTACAGCAGTGTCAGTATCAACATTTCTACTCTTAATCCATCCTGCAACTTAACAAGGAAAGAAAATAGTAATAGAGCTCAATTGTAACAATGGGAAATAGGAGTACTGGGAGGCAAATAAAATCCCTGTTTTGATAGTTGGGGATGGGGGGCATTTAGGATTTTAGAGAGTTGATATTTCACTGGTCTGTAAGGGACACGACTGACCTTCTGCTACACACTTTTCTACTACAGTGGAGAATAAAGGAACACTTTGTACAGCAGCACTAGCACCAGAGAAATCCAATGCCATAAGCAAGAACAGACCTGTCAGATTTCAGGTTATGGCTCCCATCAATAGGTATGTGTTTTAATCTTATAGACAATTGTGTGCTTTTAGCTACTGAGATTAAAGGAAAAAAAAAAAAAATGAAAACTGCATCTACAGTGTAGATTAGAAATACCTCTGTTAAATACTTGACAAGACTTAAGTAAAAGTGTTTTATGAAAATAAATTGAAAGTGAGGCCTTGGAAGTTAAACTATTGTTACGTGTTAAATCTTATACATAGTATGCACCCTTGTATCATCCATAGAATAATATTGCTAGACCCTATTTATCATTTTTAAATCAGTACATTTGTGGTATTCTATTTTTATGGAACTCCTAACTGAATTTTCTGTATAGATTCGGGGGGGCGGGGGAAATCACTAGCTTAACTAAGCTACAGTTTTAGTTGTACCATCATTACCTTGTTCCCATCTAAACCACAAACAAAGCAAACTCCTCAAAAGTAAGTACCTTCTATTCCAAAGTAATCAGATGATACAAAATGAAAAACAGGAAAGAATGGAAACTTGGGAGACTTGGAAAGTTCTTAAAGAAAGGCATTACAATTTTAGCAACCATTTACTTTCTCTGTTTAGTGTTATATCTATGGCTTACTAGAAGCTAACTGGCAGTTATCAAGCAGCATTTTGTTTCTCATTTCTATTGACAATCTCTCAATTAGAACAAAAAATTTAAAATGTGGTAAAATACTTATGATTTTAAGCTGAAAAATGTTCTTTAAGAGAATGCTGTTACAACAGGTTACTTTTGTAAATGAAATATGCATCTCAGAGGACTTTACCAGGACTTTACTGGTAAAATGAAAATCAAAACTAATTAGGTTTCAAAGTTTAGCTGTAAGAACAGTAATAATATATACCTACTCATTAAAAGTTCAATCAATCTTTTCCCCATTTTTGTTTTACAAGGCTCTATACTATTTTATGTACTTTTTATTTATAAGGGAAGCTAGTCTTTCCACATTCCAATTTCATCATTTTAAGCCAAAAATCTGTATTTCTTTGTATTAATTATTGTTTAACTGGTTTGAATTTCACACTTAGCAAGAGACAGCCACTGAGAAGTATGGTTATAATTACTCAGAGCCTTAACACTGGCCTTAGTAGGGCCGAAATTTCATCTTTGGAGCAACAACATGCTGTTAGAATATTTTTTTACAATGCATAAATGTGACTCTCGGACAGATAACTTGTCCGTTTGGGACAGAGTGAAGCATTTCTAGTGATGCTTGTTCAACCCTTTCTTAAGAGTCTTCAATAATGGAGATATCTTCTAAGGTAGTTTATTCCAATATTTGATTCTTTTTGCTACGAGTCTTTAAAGTTAATCCAATCCACCTGGCATAATTTAAACCCACTACTCATTATCTATCTACTGCAGTGAACAAGCATATATAAATTACATTCCACAGAATATTGGAAGTGAGTTCCATTTTTTACACAGTTTGTGCTTTCTGGACTTCTGATCATTTCCATTGCTTTCTTTTGGACTTTCTTTCCAAGGGAAATTTTCCCAATTCTTTCTTTAAGCGTGGCATCCCAAATGAGCAAAGTGTTCCAGCTGAAGTGTTATCAGCACTAATTAGAAAAACTATTTTACTTGCTTTAGAAACATTATTCCCATTTATACAAGCCAGTATGGCGTCTGCCTCTACTCTTAATTCTTGTTCAGCTTGTAATCTACAATACCATACACATAGATTATTCCAACAGCGTTATCTAGTCTTGCATTTCTGTTATTGACCCCTCCTACCTAAATGAAAATGTCAGCATTTTTCCTTACTGAGTTCCTCTCCAACTGACAATAGGTGACATTCTGTATGTGCCATTTGGCAAACAACTGCATACTTTCCTAGCACTGTATCTAGTCTAAATCGGACTACCTTGCTCATAAGAATGTTGCATCAGACAGTGTCAAGATACTTAAAGATATGACATCTACTGCTTCTCCCCTAACCTCACAGCCTGCTATGCTATAGAAGGAAGTTAATTTGGTTTGAAATAGCTCGTTTTTTACAAATCTATTGACACATTCCGTCAGGAAAAATTATCTCAGAGTAGTGAATATGCTATAAATTCATACCATCAGTTATTTCACAATAGCTTCCATGTGTACACAGGATCTAAGCTGATAGTAATAAGAGGAAGAAAATCACAGTGTTACCAGACACAGCCTATAATATGCAAATATTATTTGAATGATGATTTGAACAAAGGAATTCCCTTTTATTCAAAAACTAAAGCGCTGGGAAGGAGAAGGGGGGAGAAGTGAAAAAAGAATATTGCTGACCCTTCCAAGATGCATTGTCTCTGATATTAATTTTTTTTTTTTTAAGATAAAAATGCAGATAATGCAACAGGTTTATATGCTGTATAAATGGTCCCCAGCTGCTTGTTCTGAAGCCAGTTCATAATATCAAAGACTAAGTTTTCTTTCAGTTCATTGTTCTCCAAATATATGGAAACCCCAAACCCTCCATTTCTAAATCATTGTTCAATAGGTTTAGATTTAAAATTTGCTGTGGCATTCCCTATTGACACCTACTGCCAATAAAATGTTATTTTCCTGATGTAAAACTAACCCATAAAGTCTCATATCTTCAATTTATTTCCTTCAAATGGCTCAATCAGAAAGCAACTTTGCCAATCTTTATGACATATAAAACTCCTCTACTTTTGCAGTCCCTCGGGCATCTGAGAGTTAAAGTACAAATAGCTGCAAAAAGAAAATGGCTACCAGTTTTTTGAATGATTTAGTGAATGTGTGGTAAGACATTTGAATTTAAGTTTATACCTTTTCCATTTTTAAGTCATTGAGAACATGTGTTTTCATTGTGTATGCAAACATTTAAGGAAAGCAGCAAAAGTTATATAAAGGTTATTTCAGAACTCGTTTTCTTAAAAATTGGATTACTATTATAAAACTATTGCACACACTAAAATGTGCATCTAAAGCGTCTATATTCTTTCACCACAGAAATATCACAGAGTATGATTTTAATTTAGCATAATCACCATTGCCCCATAAACCTACCTCTTTTGGCATGAAGGACAAGCAGCATTGTAAAGCTGACTTTCCCTTTAAGTTAACTGAATACAAATAAGGCTTTGAAGAACAGCAGTCAACCACTGTCAAACAAAATTCAGAATCAAATTACAGATGTTATCACACTAAATATCAACTTTGTAATAGTTGCACTACCTCAAAGTTATTTCCTGCATAAGGTATCCACATATCTGTATGGTAAACATTTTCTCACAAAGTTACGAATTAATACAGTATTTCTCATAAGGATGCTGGAGGTAATTTTGAGAAGTGTTAATCACCAACAACTTTAATGAAAGTTATTGATTTGGTAGAACACAATATTTCAGAAAAAAAAAACCCCAACACTCTCATTTACCTTTGAATAAAAGCGTTAGGCAAAAATAGTTAACTAAATAATGAAACCTAATATCACAGGGAGAAAAATAGCTGGGTGAAACTGTTTTTCTAAATTACTTTTAGGCCTAATCTACACTACAGAAGTTTACCAGTAAGGCTTGCTTCATTTTTTATATCCAATTTTAAGGTACTGGCAGAAGCATGGGTTTCCAATAAACCAAAAATAAATTCCTCAGAGATCAGTATTCGTCCTGGAACACCAGGATCAATATTCATCCAGTATTCACCATTTAAACAGTACTGGACCTGATGATGTCATATTACTTGTTTCAAGCATAAACTCTGATCTAGAAATCATGTGCAATGAGTCAATTCCCATGCTGGCTAGTTGCCTGTTGTAGACAGTCCTACAGTTCTCTGCTGAGTTAAGATGACTGACTAGGAGACCTCACGTTCCTTTTGAAGTCCACCACATGGTGGTGTTCTTGTCAGATCATTTTTTGTCATCATCCACATACAGTTCTACCTAAAGATACAACTAAATATTACAATACTGTCTTGCAAAAGAAAGAGTCCTGATTTCCTGAGCTCGCAGGGACAAGAGCCCATATAAGCATAGCTGCAAAATTCATGAATAAAGATGTTGGAACAGCAAAGGAAATGCCAGGACTGAAGCAGAAAAGGGATAAGCAACAATGAGTGAAGGATAAGAATTTGCACTAGTTCTATCAAGAAACAAACAGCATTCTAATTCCACATATTGCCCCAATGTCATTCTGAGTAGGGCATCGTGCAGAACAGAGGGCCTGTAATTAACCCGCAGACACCCTGTACCATTAGGAAAAAGAGAAGTCTGGACACTTATACTGATGATTAATTAACTGAAGGGTAAACATTGTCAAAACAATGGGTAAATGTCCAGGAATAGGAAATTAGTATAGTTTTTTGGCTTTGTTTTGTGGGGTTTTTTGTTTTTGTTTTTTTTTATTTTAACTGCTGTGAGGGAATTCAAACTGGTTGTGTTTTGGGTTTTTTTTAATATACCTTAGCAACTATAGGGAAAAATGGGGGGGGGGGAGGGTTTTGGAACTGCAACCTGACATTTTCCAAATGCTTATTTTTGGCATATGTCATTTTACAGGCAAACCAGAATGTCTCCCCTTAATTTATATTAAGCAGCACTTTTAAAATAATTGCTTTAGGTTTTCTTAAATAAAAAAATTTGTATACCAGAAATAGTCTGACAGATTTTCTCTTAGTATTATCCATTCTTTATGTAATGAAAATTCTGATATAGCAAAAGCAAATACCTGAATGGTCATTAGCATTCAATTTAAAATCCTTATACTTAGAAAAATCAAACTCGACTCTGGTACATGCTTGTCCTTTGTTCTGCAGCAAAAAGGGAATTGATTTTGTAGAACCGACATAAACACCACCAAAGTCAAATAGTTCCTGTAAGTTTAAAGAAAAAAAAAGTTGTGTCAAAGCACTGTGAAGTCAAGTTTATAATTGAACAGAATGTGAAAAATATAATTGTTCAAAGATTGACAATTTACAACACAATAACAGTCTTGGTTAATCAATTGTCTTGCATAACCCTTATCTTTAAAATCCTTCCAGGATATAGAATGCAACAGCTTAGAATTCAATACAGAAGGCCAGTTACACCATCAGGAAAGTTTTCATCATTCAATAAACAGATCAGTGGATTCCTTTTCCCTTATTGCATTTTTTTTTTCCTATAACTACCTTAAAGAAATCCTCTCCCTTTTAACATACTATTTCCCAGATTGTCAAGTTCAAAAGCTAAAGCTGTCAACTATCATTTAGTGCAACTGTTATATGTACATTTAGTTTTTAATTTCTCTTCGATAATTTTCTCAGGAAGTTGGTATAGGAAAAAATGAAAAATATGAAGTAGGGATGGGCACTTCGACATCTAGATAAAGCAAAACACTACCAATCTTACCCATTGCTACAATTTCTTCATACTTACCACATCAATGTTTATTTCAGGGATCTCTACAAATCCACCAATCCTAAGCACTAGTACTCCTGAATTTCGCACTGCTACCTAAGAGAACAGACAACAGTGTGATTGTTGACAAGGTCATTTTAACATAACTATCTCACCAAATCTGTTATAATTACATGAAAAAAAGGTTTTAAAAAAAAACAAAAAACCAAACCAAACAAACAAAAAAACCAACCCACCACCAACCAAACATCCTACCCCACAGTGGAGAGAGACATTCGGCTTAATTTGTAATGAAAATATGAAAACAATTCTGCCCTTACAATATAATGCATTTTTGTTATGGAAATATAAAGAGGTAAAGAAAATGCCTTCATTTTCTAGAACATGTATACACAGATTCCAGTGAGATGTGACTTCAAAGAAGAACCAGTCCTGCATCTATGGCATACACTATCTGTGGTAGTCATAGCTGTCAATTAAAAAAAAAAAAACCACAAAACCCACAAAACCACAAAAAAAACCCTCACAACCAAAGTTTTAGGAAAGACCAGTCTTCTGCAGACAAAAATAATGTTGCAGGAGGCTGTTATCACTAGAATGAACAGTTCTTTCCAACAGCAGAAAGCCAAGTGGATGGGTTAGATGTATTCAGCAGCTGTGAGGATTGGAAAGTATACCACAACATAAATTGCTTGACAGAGGTGCTGGTACAAAGTAGATACTATTGTTCTGAGCAATACTAAATCTGCTTTAGAAGTGGAAAAAAGAAGTGGATACTAGGTTTAGTGAGCGTAACGTAGGCAGCCACAGAAGATGGAGAATCCAGGATTAGAGTTAGAAAAGGTAGCAGAGATAAGCCCCATGATAGCATCCTTTTTCCCATTCTCACTTATCTGACTAAGGACAAGTTCAGAAAGCAGGCATGCAGAAAACAAAACAGGATTAGATGTTTATTGCACTCCTATTATCAAATCAAATCTACAAGTAAATCTGTCTCTGAGATGACCACAAAAAGAAGTCCAGAAATTAAAGACACTACAGTATTCCAGTCCTGCTCCTCTATAAATCATAAAAACTGCAGAGATGTCTACATGATCTTCTGAAGACAATCACACATTAGTTTCAACAGCTTGCCAATGGTAAAACATTATTCAGCTCAAACTGTGAGGCTGCTTTGATACTTCAGAGCACGACTGAGACCAAAATAACAGAATAGGTTATAGCAGCCATCAATTGCTGTAAGAAAACTTTTTCCTTTTCTTTTTTTTCTCTCTTAAAAAGCAGTAGAACACTGGAGATAAAATCCAAAAGATGCTAAAACGTACACACATCTCCACACAGAAGCACACAACATAACACACAAAAGACAAGTTCTTCCAATTTTGAATACCTCCACTCTTGTATCAAAACTCATTTTTGCATTTGGAGTAAAACAGATTTCGAGATCAGCATGGCCTCCCACAGGTACCACCCCTTCAGAAGGGGTGATCATCATCCCAGGGAGTGGGTTTGAATCAAGAACCTTCAAACACAAACATGAAACATTAATAATACTGAAAGGGGGGGGGGGGGGGGGGGGAGGTGTTTTGTTTTAAAAATACCAATATATTGATCAAGAAGATTTTACATTCTTACAAAGAGAACCTTCATAATATATAATGCTAACTTGGACTTAGAAGTTTGGGGCAAATATACAGGTAAACAAAATAAAGTAACAGATTCCTAAACATGATGACTGTCAGTTTCTACTACAAAATAATTTTTGCACACCAGTTGGAAATTTCACATTCTGGTTTTCAGGTTGTTTTCATTAAGTTATTAAAATTAAGACTTGCTATCTAGCAAGTCTCCAGAATATTCTACAAAGCATTTTTTCAGTGACAGATAAATTCATCACTTCTTTTTTGACATTCACAGTAAGAAGACAGGACACGGGATTCTAATACTGTAAAGTTCGAAAATAATACTAGGAGCAAATATTCAGTTTATCCTGTAATTAGTAAGGACAAAGCAGAATTTGTTCTCTTCTAATGCACTCCAAACAGGTAACTTTTTAAAGTATAGTTACACAAGTGTTAATGACCAAGACCTACCAGCCATCTCTTGGCTTAAGAGTAATTGCGGAGGCTTAAAAGGCTGGGTATGTTTATTTGTCTGTCTTATCAATTATGCTGATTTTATTCTTTCAGGCCCATCCTCCAAAAATGTAGTAATAATACTTGTTATTATAATGCTCAATTGGTAAACAGAGAAATATGGTACAAATCAAAATAAAATAATCAACTTCCTTAGTACCATAATAATGTAGTAACAAAAATTCTGAGGATGTTAATGAAAATTATTGTGCTTCACTAAATAAATACAGCAAATTATTCTGTGATCAGGAGAACTAATGAGGTTAGGTTTTCTACTAATTCGTGTATTATGTCTTTACCCACTCTGGCATCCATCTCATCTCTTATCCAATTCATAATACAGCCTATCTTCTTCTCAGATGTTAGTCTAGCAAAGTAATCACATTTGCTGTGACTGGTCTAGGTCTAGGTATGCACTGACTGGGCAGCCAGTATGAATAGGATGACTAGCCAGTTTGCTCTGTCTCTCAAAATATAAAAACATCCAAGATGTAACTGCTTTTTCACAGGGTACACTAGTATGGGGTTCCACCCTCACCACTGGTTCTCACAAAACTTCCAGAATGTTTTAGACCATTACCACTTTGCTTGTCTGTTGGTCCATCTATCCATCTATCAGTCCAAATTTGACAGAAGGACAGAATTCCTATTCACGTAAATCTTGTTTCTTCAGAAAACCAGACAAAAACTTAAGTAGATGTGTATCTAATAGCTGAGAATACAAAACTGTAACATGATCTGATAAAGTGAACCCCCTTCTTCCTCCAAACCCCAAGAAATAAAATACACTAAAAATAATTTCAGCTTACTTGGAAGTATGCATGATTGTATCCTATGTTTTGAAGAATGGCTGTCTTACAGGTAGATAAACCCATTGGACTATGACTGAAGGGTATCCTTTGTTCCATAAGATGAACTTTAGTAGTACCAAGCTGTAAAAAAAAGAAGAGAAAACAAGCAAACTAAATAACATATTACTAAGTACAAATAAATAATTCAGCCTAATTTTCATTACATAATGAGCTAATATATAATGAGCAAATATACTTGTGAAAATGCGTAACAGAAGTATTCAAATAGACAAACACAGTTTAAATGTGAGACAAGATTTACTCAATGTATTGAACTTATCTAGATTCAAAGTGAACAGACACAACCCCAGAGATATTTCTGAGCTAATTTCAAGACAAATAAAAATATTTTATTTAAATTTAATTTACAGCACAAGCGCCATGATTTTCTTTTTTTTTCCTTTTTAAATCCTAAATGTGTGATCAGGACAAGATACTTCAGAGGTTTTAATAGCAGTAGCAATACTAATATTCTAATTTACACACATCCTGGTTTACATATAGCAATTGCCAAGTCTTCAAAAGAAGCAAAGAAAAAAAGCTACTGGGGAAAAAAAAAAAAAAGACAAAGCAGGCACATTAAAGGGAAGGGAGAAGTTTTCTTGGTTCCCAAAATGGAAGTTCTAGAGCATGCAGCCAGTAGAATACAGAGGCGGGGGGGGGGGGGCGGGGCGGTGGAATATCTGTCCCCTTCACAATGCCTGGCATGTAACATAAGATAACAAACGATTAACCTAAGCTGAATTTCACTGTTTGGAAGACTATCCAGAACATTGCTTTTCAAATTATCAAATACCATGTTCAAATAACAACACAAAATTACGTTACAGCCTGTTGTTACCCTGAAGCTCTGAAACATACCTTCCCACACACACCTTCACTTTTATTCCTTTAATATATATCTAAAGAACTATCAGACCACCTCTCAACCTTTGTTTGGCTAAACTAAGCAAGCTAAGAACCATTACCACTTAATGTATAAGGACCACTAAATTGTGGTGCCAAAGGAAGTATATCATCGAAAGCAAGAAGGCGGCCAATTGTCTTTGTCTTGCCTTCTCCATCATGTCTTTGGAGCAATATTCTTTTGTTAAACATGTCAAATAGAAGCCATATGAAATTAAAATAATTTTTTGAATACATGATAATAGAAATATTTTTAAGAAATTACTCAACTAAAAATGCCACACTTTTTGCTTCTCTTAATCTGCTGTATGAATAGTTACCTTTGCAAAACATTTCAACTTAATTTTGTTTCCTTTACGCACACACAAGTTGAATTCTCCTGCTTCTGGAGAGTTGAACCCTGGATGCCAAACAACTTCACACTCCAGATCTCTATAGGCCTCCACAAAGCCTAAATAAATGTGCATAATTTACATTTATCAAATTACATTGAATAATTAGAAATAACATAAGCATATTAAAGTGAAATGACCTTCTATTACTGAAGACTAAGGCTACATTTCAAAGATGTTGAACAGTATGCTGAATTAAGTAAAATTAGTTCCTGAATTCTCATGACAAATGTACAATCTGTTTATCAGTATCCTGCAGTAAAACACACTCAAAAGTTCACTGGTATTTTTTAGCCACAAATTACTCAAATAGTCACCATTTTAAAAAAATAAAGAACAGACTATCCTTCCTCTGGAATAGCAGCTTTGGGAAAGACCATATACATTTTCTTGCTTGCAATTGAGTCTGAACTTGTACCAGCAGAAATATCTTTTCTCAAGAATCAGAGCACACCAACCTCCTGATCCAGCCAAATCTTGTTTGAACTGTATAATGCCAATTCAGTTAGCAGTTAGTTCTTTAACAATGGAGCTCAAACATACTCCTGCAGAACACTATCTTTCAAAGGAAAGAAGGTAAAAGCTAATGTCTCACGCACTTCTAACAAATATTGATCCATAATACAAGTGGAAACTAACCCCAGACTGAATTCCATTTGTGTCACTCAGACTGTCTATATCAACTTCTTAGCAGCTTCATTCATACAGTGCTGTTGAAAATTTCCTATTCTGATGAGCTGTATGATATTGCTAACTGCCATTAAATAGCTGCCTCACTTTTGAAATATCAGCAATCTGTGCTAAGAAAAATGGTTACAAAAGCACTGCTGGCTGGACAGAGAAACAACGAACTGGACTGAGTCTGCTCTCAGGGTAGGGTTTTATACATGGAGTGCTGCTATGGTATTAACACTCTGATCTGATACTACTTTTGGGATACACTGATATTGACCCAAATCTAAAAAATACAGTTTATAGCATCAGCTGAATATTTGTCTCACTTAATATTATTGACATTTAAGATATGTGCACGCACACTGTACTTGCATAGTATACCTTTCGCTGGCTGTATAGAAAATGCAGTTCCTCTATCTGTAATTATAGGTTTCCAAGTAAATGCAGCAGGATGGTTTCTGGGATTGTACACCCTGACAGTTGTTCTAAATTCTGTCTCTGCTAGGTAGCCAGGAATAGGATTTAAAATCAGTTCCCTTGCAGACAGCTCAAGTTCAACAGACACTGCTTTTGCAACCACAAGCACATGCCCAGGGTGTTGGTTGTTTATCGTGTAAGTGAAAGATCTGTAACATAAATACATAAAAATATTGAGAAATATATATTTTTATTATGTTGTAGTCGGAGAAAACTTTATGTGAAATATAATAATTAGCAAGAAAATACTTAACGAAACAGTTGAGTGTGAACACACAGTTAAGACTGACGAAAGAAACCAATTTTTAATTGTTTTGCATTACAACTTAAATCATGTGAAAAGTGAAGGTCATCCCAAAGGATGCTCAACCTCATACAGTCATTTTAACAGCATCAGTAAAGTGACAGTTCTTCACACCAGAAGGCTAGAAAACAGTTTGCCTATACACTTACCGATAAGGTGCATCAGAAGATCTGAGCACAGATGCAGTGATGCAACACCATGCCGGAAAGAGCACAGTGTTTTCCATAAAATTTCTCCTAACAAATACACTGTAATAGCAAACTTTTTTTCCCTGATATACCTGGGGCTATATGGGCTTTTGACAGGACAGTTTGCTGGGTTTTTTTAAAACTCTAAGAAACTTTACTATACTAGCAACATTTTGCAACATAAAACTGCATTAATTATTGCAGTATCACCACAAATCATAGAATGCTTTGGGTTGGAAGGGACCTTGAGAGATCATCGAGCCCAACCCCCCTGCAGTAAGCAGGGATTGAACCTGTGAACTTGGCATTATTAGCACCATGCTCTAACCAACTGAGCTAACCCGGCTGGTCTGAGTGTACACCATTAAAGTTATCATAATTACACTGAGTTTAAACCAACCACGTGATTTTTTTATGCTACTAGTGCAAAGAAAATATGTAAATCAAGGCAAATATAAGAAGCCTTACCTTTTAAACATTCCAAGAGTGTTTGTCTCAAATACAATCGGAATATGAGTCTTTGTAAGAGGAGGCACCACCTGAGACAATGGACTTGTCTGCTGTAATTCATCAATTTCAATCTCAATTTGTATCCATATATGAACTAACAAGTTATTGATGATGTGCAGTTTTCTGGCTGTTGTAGAATACACACAAACATCACCAAAATCCATAGTAGAAGGACCTGAAATATAGAAGAAATAAAATCTTCTACATTAAAAAGTACAAGCTGAAGTAAGGAAGCATACCTGCTAAAACATTATGATCAAAACATTTTAGTTCCTTAAATTACAGAATTAGTCAGCTAGAACAATCCTGTAGCAGAACAAATTCACACTAAAATTTGGAAGTAAATACCATGTATGTTCTGTGAATGTTTTCAGTAGTACAACTCAAAAGCCAGCACCATTTATTTCTCAATTCTGTCTGTGTTAGCCAGCTATTAAAATAGGAAAAGGAATGTGCTATTTACTAAAGACATTATTAATAATCATAAATACTTCTTTTTATTAATCAGATATTTAAATAGCTAGACAACCAGCAATTCACTGAGAGTTTATATACTTAACCTGTTTATTTGCCCCCTGATGCGTGACCATTTGGTTTAATAACACATGTAATTTGACAGTGGCAGAATTATCTCACTACTTTATTTACTGCTATCACCTGTTTTTATGCTGGTCTGCAAACTTTAGTGCTCATGGCACTAATCAAACATCTTAAAAAACTCTAAGTACTTTTTGTATTAATATGTTCACCTTATTCTGCCTTTTCCCAAGTGTATCACTATACAGAGCTACACTACTCAAGTTCTGGATGCACCGAACATAAAAAAAGCCCAGAAAGTACTGAAAATTTTCACTTTGCTGCTAAATAATTTTACTGAAGAAAAATTTAGCTTAAAATAGACCAGTTTTAGTACCAAGTGTTGTTAATAGATGAGTCCCTCACAGATTTTAGGTGTTACTCCCCATCACAGAGCATTCCACTGAAATTGTTTTGAAGGAGGATCCTGAAGAAGTTTTACTTTTTTGGGGTATCACTGTTCACTGTTAATTCCCAGAAACATTCTGAACACTCCCATGAATCTTGCTGATATTAATGTTGGTCCAGATACTATCCAATAACAAGGCACAAGGGTATGAACAACTCTTACACTATGCTGTACTGATTTCCCTATAATAGGCTGTAGCATGAGCAGTCTTTAAAGGCAGCTCTCCTTTTACGTATTCATACCTAGTCATATCTCAGTATTTTCTGAGGAGTACAAAGCTTTAGTTAAATGCTACTGTAGATATCAAGCTGCCACCAAATTAAGCTATTTTCTATTAAAGGTGAACAATTGTGAACAACCATTGTGTTACTATAAATATGCATTTAGTAACCAAATTAAAAATCTTACCAATGAGTATTTGATGAAGCTGCTTGGATGTCAAAGTTAGACTACAATCTTCCTTCTCTTGGGCAGAAGATGGCACAGCACTAAGCCCACTCCAAACCTATGACAAACACAAGATATCTTCTCAGAGCAGGATCAAAATTCTTACACTTTTTTATATAGTAAACACAGTATGCTTACACTAGTACTCAAGCATTTAACTTACTTCTTTGACTGAAGATTTAGAACCAATTGCTGCCAATTTTCGACTAGTTAATAGGCAAGTCTCATCTAAAGGAAGCATTTTGAACTGTAGCTTCTCCTTGTGAAAATCTGCGATTGAGATCTTTGGTGACATAAGCCCTTCAGCTGGTTTAAGGCCTATGCTCAGAGAATTATTATAAATATAAAACTGCCTATAGAGGAGGGAAAAAAAAAAAAAAAGAATTTGGAAATCTAGAAGTTTGAGCATTCCATGTTCTACACGTTAAACTACTTAAGATTTTTAAAGATAACAAATAATACTTTAAGTAGGAATATTTCATTATTAAAAAAACCCTCAAGTAAAGAAAATGCCTTGAAGAGTCTTTTATTGTACTGTTTAGGCAAGGATTAACATCTATTGCACATTTGTGGTAACTGCTAGCTAAACAGGTTGCAAGCATTGTGGCTACCAAATTATAAATACCGTATCATCTCTAAAATACCTCTTAAAGAACAATTAAGTTGTAAAGTCAAGCACTTAAAAGTTAGCAACTGCCAAGATTACACAGGATCCTCATAGCCTAATTTTCAGAGCAATTAACTTTTCTTGGTCAAAGTTCAACTCCAAGCAATCAATTTCACCTGCAACCAAGAGATTTGAAACTTCCAGAGATATTCACAGATGCTTCATATCAAGTATTCAGAAAAATTATCACTATGTTTGATAGTAACAGTGAAATGCATCTGATAACTGTGAAATTTTCCTTTCTGTTCTTGCTCCTCATGCAATATACCTTGAATATATGCATTATGGTGATATAAACAACAGTTCACCCACTACACAATACCAGTTCCTTTCAAGAAAACATCATGTGCATGCATAAAAATAAAATAAATCGAGCTCTGCAGGCCTTGTCTGAATCATGATGTATATACACAGAGCAAGATAAATTGAGATTACAAGAATAACCCACTGGCATTATTAATTTTTCAACAATGGGTCTTGCAAACTAAACACTCTTAAGGTATTGCTTCTCTTGCTTTAGAAGCTTTACAGGTTTGTTTTTTTTTTTTTAATAAAACTTTTAAAAGTAGCAGAGCTGTCAGTTTTGCTTTTCCATGATTTTGCTCCACAGCATACCAACCAAATATAGTAAATTCTCACTGCATGAATTTGTTAAGACTAGAAGACCAATACGATCCTTTAATATTATCTGCTTCATTCCACAAATTATATCATAATTTACATACTGAATCCATCACTTTGGATGAGCTAGACATACCAGTTGGAAATACATACAATTTATTACATAAAAAGAAAAGAGAATCCAACACAATAAATGTTATGTTTTTGCTATTAACCATAACCAACTTTTCTTAAAACTTAGCATCTTATTTTAAGTTCCATGCCTCTGTCCCTACATTTTACCCAGCAAGTGATCTGTAAGTGTCTAAATGAACATTTGAACAAAACAGGTTTTGAATGCACTATAAATGAATGTCCCAAAACCATAAGCATTTCAGCATAGGACAAATTTAGGTATATGATTGGTGCCACTAAGGTAATTCTGCACATATATACACATATTTCTCATATGAGCCTAAACTATTTATTTATCCTTTAAACAAAGTCTTACCTATCGGCATCTTTCTGTAAACGACGCTGTCTTAAACTAGAAATAAAGTCTGCGTAGTATTCCTTATGTGCTTCTTTTGACAGTCGTTCACAGTCAGTATAAGAAAACTCTGGATCTATATAATTATATCTCTCAGTCTTTGTGAAAATAGTCCTACATATTTAAAGATAATTGCAGTTTCACTACATGTATAAAACAATTCTGGGTCTTGTTAGAAAGAAAACATATTGATTTTGCTACATATATATTTCATTATAAACATTCTTTTTATTACAACTGATTATTAATATTTGACCTTGTAAAGGCAACCATAAAAATGAAATATTGAAACTGTAATAGCTACATTTGTAGTTTTACATAAGAAAAGCAACTCAAGAAATTTATGCGCAAGAGGCTCAAGGTTAAGTAGAATGCACTGAATTTTAAAGACCTTTCAGCCTGGGGAAAAAAAAAGTAGTGTCATTATGAGTAACCAATCTTGATCTACTATACAGTATATACAAATGTGTGGTTTTAAATATTATACTCGCATAATTTTTACCTGTACTTTTTATTCCGTTCACTAGGCCTAATGCTGGCTGCACGATCATTAGGAAAAGCTATAAGTGCGTCATCCTTACAATTCCTGTTTATCCAGTGAGTATGAATTTGTGTTTGGGTTGATTTAAGTATTGCCACAGGTGCTGTATCAGTGCACTGTCCTGTGCCATCAGCTACAAACTGTCCGGTTGCATTGGAAATCATCGGTGTTATACCTTAAAATTCACATAAAGCTTATGTGAATATAATACACTTATACTTTCTAAACAAAATTCAAAGTATTAGAAAAATATTTCTTAATTTATACTGGTCCACCAAGCAGCCCAACAATCAGTCACCCATCCCATTATGTTTTCTTCACACAAGAGGGAAGGCGGCATTCAGACCATACTAACAGCCAATCACCTTCTCTGGCCTAGATCATAGACAAACAAATACTAGAGCCCAAACCACTTATACTATGTCCAGCTGTAATGCTTTGTCTTACACATGCACATGGCCAAATACTCAGAGATGCCTCTGTCACAACACTGTCTGTGGTGTCCTAAAGCTTGTCTTAAGGGCTGCAAACACAGGCATGATTTTTGACAAAGAATTCCCAAGCTATCACAACTAAAAAGAGAGCTCAGTTCTTTTTCACTCTAGTTTTAGAAAAGCACATACACCTTCAAGTTAAAGAGAAAAATTATGACAGAAACTAGGCCATGTGTTTGCTCACCTCTCCTACATAAAAACACACATTTAAAACAGGACTATAAATCAGTAAATCCATTCTTCAACTGCCCCTTCCTCCCTCACCTGTAAAAAAATTGATACATTAAACTAAAGTTATTGGGTTTACCCACTGTAGCCTTACTTTACTCTCAAATGGCTACCAAAAAAAAAAAAACACAAAAAAAAAAAAAAAAAAAACCACCAAATACTTTCCATCCTCCAAACTACAGGAGTGATTACAACTTCCACTGTCCAAGAAGGCACGTTTTGCAAGAAGCTTCATTCCAGTCTCTTCCCCCCTCCACTGAATAGAGGGACAAGTACATATCCTCCTCCACAAAGACTGAGAGAAGAGAACAGGAAGATACAGAACCCACCTACATAAGGATCTGAAAAAACTCACTTTCCCTCCACACATCAATGAAGCTTAAAAGCAAAACACAGATATCAGTAGCCTATAGAGTACAGATACCCCTCATAACCTCTTTATAAACCTGCAAATAGGAGCAGAATGGGAACATTAATAGAGCAAATGGTAGACAAGAGCATTTAGAAAAGCTGATAAAACTTGAATACTGCATTAAATCTCTGATCCACAGAAACATATTTTAATGGTGTTTTTGAAGCAGGAAAACTGCAGGAGTTCTGGATTTCAACAATAAAATCTAGAAATTACAAAACTTTAGTTTCTTATCAATTCTTGATTGCCATGGACTTGAAATACCTTCCTGAAAGTAGCAGGAACGTCCAGTGGCTTATCAACCATTCTGATATTTGTAGAAAGAACAGCATTTTATCTTGACTTTCCAATTACTTCCTCTTTTTACTTTCCCACAATGCGCTGTCTGAAAAAAATGGGTATTGCTTTCCTGTTTTTCATTAGTGAGTACACCTTCAAGTGGGCAGCAGTCAGTTAAGGAGTATTCAAGCTCCCCTCCTTACCTACAAACAGAAACCAGATGCACCACTGTACAGGACAGCCCTGTTGTACTACCTGCAGATGCTACGGCATATCTGATGCTAGAAACAGCTATGTTTCCCATGACTGGTTTAAAAATCTAGTGACAGGCTTAGTCAAATCTACTGTAAAGTGGTTGTTCGTGGGACATATGAGGAACATCAGGAACAAATTAGAGACTAATTATCGCGTATCCTGAAAGATTCTTTATGCTGGCATAGGCTTCACAGGATGAGAAAGAGTCAATGGACGTGGGACTGGTAGCAGGCTATATTAACTGGCAAATTTATCTGGCAGTAATAACTTTCAATCAACAAAGAATACCCTGTTATCTTTCCTAACTTCTTTATGTACCTTACCCATCTGGTGCTTACCCCGCTGGTGAGGCTGCACCTGGAATACTGTGTCCAGTTTTGGGCCCCTCAATACAAGAAGGACATTGAGGTGCTGTCACATGATGAAAATTTATGCTTTACCAGTTCAATTTTTGTTAAAATATGGGGGGGGGTGGTGTGTGTGTGTGTGTGTACCATTATTTTGCCATTGTTTTATACTCTCATGGGTATATGTCATACAAATGAGCACTCCCTCAACCCCCAAAGAAGTATTACTTTTTAAAAACAAACTAATAATAGTAAAAAAACTCTTTAAAAAAGTTTAAAATGTACTTTTAAAACATTTTATCACTTGTCACTTATCTTTTTAGCATCTTACCAGGATTAATTTTGAATAGAACGTTTTTTTGTTTAGATTTGCACACACCAATAAAGCTCAAATACATTTGGTGAAAGGATTTTGTCTTCGAAACCTGTAAATTATTTTTCTCTAGTCCTGTACCAATGATATCAACAACTTGCTTCACTTTAAATGTTCCTATTTGATGTGGAGAAAATGAAAATATCACATCCTGGAAAAGAAAAGTCGTTATGAGACATATGAGACAGAAAAGCAAAGAGAAAAGTTTCATGCAATTCTCTGTTTAATTGAGTCACTTCTCTCCACACTTACTTCTAAGATAGGTGTTCAAAACTGAGCTTTTAGAATATGCCAACCGCCACACATAAATTAGCAATATAAGGAAATACAAAACTGCTACACATTAGAACACCACAAAGTCTCACTTGCTCATTTCTGGGACAAATTGTTCTCTCTTATAACTCCACAAACCTGTAACTGGCACAACCATCTTCATATTTTACTTAAATTTGGCAAAGTTTCTTCCATTAAAAGATATGTTATGTTACTCAAGTATTTGAGATTTACTGGAAGAAATTAAAAGGATCCTGCACAGGTTTGAGTATAAATCAATCTTCTCAAGTCAGTAAAATATAAAAAAATCTAAAACCAGGAAAAACCTGGGTAAAGTTTCTTTAGTACTACAGTTATTTTTTCCAAATTTAGAATAACACTTGTTGCTTCCTGGAGTACAGGAAAGAGCAGTAGAAGACTCTACATAAGGAGAAAAAAAAATATATATTTGGCTGATATAAAACATCATGGCTACTGAAATGAAATTGTTCTGGTTTACTTTCAAGAAATTCCACCACTGGCCACTGTAAAGTAATCTGCATATCTACATAATCAAAGAGAAAGAGGTAATTACCTTTGCAGATTTTTTTTTAATTTTTCCTTTTTCAGGAGAAATATTAAAGTGAGCAGTCTTACGGAAGCTGAATGTTACTGGAAGGGACTCAGATTCATTTTTGAGTGTGCACAGAACTTGTGTTTGTTCACCCAGGAAACAGTCCATAAACTTAATAACTGGTCCTGGATTAAAAGTTAACATGACAGGAAGCCCAGAACCTGTCAAAGCTAACTCCATGTGATGAGGATGATTCACTGCATTAGATAAAGACAAAGAACAAACAAACAAAAAAACCTCACACACCTATTAGCTTACTAACAGAAAAGTCATACTGTATTTGTATGATTGCAAAAACAAAATACCACCATAATACAACATGATTTATAATGCAATTTTCTATAAATACAGGACATGCTTACTTATAATGGCTGTTAGATAATGTATTCCCTCATCAAGGAATTTGAGGGTGATCAAATATTTGCTTGAAAATGCATAAAACTGGTAGTGACTTGCAAATGGCTGAGGATTTTTTTATGTCCTCCAAATATTTACATTTATAATTAAGTTCTAGGTGTTCACTACCAGCAGGTGTATTCATGACATGCATGATTTGCTCCTTCTTTCTACTCACTGTTCGAAAAGTTTTTGGTGCTAAAGCATTAAAGATGTAAGTTACAATAATTTATTTGTATTGATATAAATAAAATTTTCACACAGGTTTCCCATAAAACTGCTAAGATGAAGAAATTTTAAAAAAAATAAAAAGAAAAAATCAAGATATACAGTTTTATCATCCATATATACATTTCTGATGGTGACTACACATTTCTGATAACATACTTGTGATTGCTGTGGCACCATCACTGAGGGCCTTCAGATAGCCATCTTTATTCCCAACAGCTTCAAATCTCAGAAACAGTACGTAATCTTGTTTTGGTGATGAGTCATTCACTCCAAAGTTGCTTTTAAATTTTCTGGAAGAGTCACAATCTCTAATTACAAGATGGGGAAAAAAAACAAACCGCCAAACCCCAACCCACAAAAAGAAAAAAAAAAAAAAAAATCAGGGCTTATTTTTCATCATCCAGTCTGGCTTCTTTGCTGTTGGGTTACAGCTTGAACAAATGATCATTATACTTCCTTTCAGAAAACAGAACAGTAACAAATTTAAGTGCAGTAATATCGGTATGCTTATTATACTAGTAATTTGATATATTTTCCAGTCTACAACAGTTTTCTAAACTAATATTACATACATAATAATCACTTATAATTAGAATTTAAGTAAGGGAAAATGGCAAGAGTGCATTTTCTGTTTCAGTATCCTGGTGATGAAATATATATATTCTTTCATAACGCTGCACATATACTATATCTTTACGAAATAGATCTGCAGTCATTAAAAAGGCACTTAATTTGACACTGTAGGACTCCCTCAACAATCTTTAGAGATTCAACATGTTTGATAGGAGCTGCAATTAAGTTACCTTGGCATAATCTCATAAAATTCTTGTTCTCACAAAACAAGCTTAGCCAATTCTTGGTTCAAATACATCCTTAATGTATTATAAAACATCTCCCAGATAATCACTTCAGACTTTGCTTTCTCATTTGTGGTATCATGCCAAGCAATTTCTTTTAAGACACATAAATACATAAGAAGTCATTCAGAAAAAAATCTGCAGACACGTTAACTTAAAATTATTTTCTATAACACAGCTCTTTACAGAATAGTTTAGACCAATCAACTTGTGTGTGTGTCTAATCTGGACCACTCACTCACTTTGGACTAAAGCACAATGTAACCAAAGATTTCTCATAAGGTAGCAAGGTGCCTTGACTGGGAATGCACAAAATCAAGGTGGAAACATCTACATCTCTTGTTCTATTTTTGATGCTTAAGTCTTGTAAAAGAGCATCTGCACTCTTCTGAAGGTCTGTCCCCTAAAAAAAAAAAAAAAAATGGGGAAAAGTTCAGCCTGTTTTGCTTCTCCTTTTGTGTTTGTTTTTTTTTTTCCGCCTACACATACATTTTCATGTCTCTCACAATCAGAAAGACATAATAGCACACATAAGTAATAGCACTGACAGTTACCTATCACATGGCTAATTAACCAATTTTAAAACACCAATTTAATGTCAATGTTTTGAATTCCTTTTTTTAAAGATGATGCTCACTCAGATGTTTTCATTGTCTGAGAAAAACAAGTGAAACCAGAGATGCTTAACATCTTAGAATACCAAAATATATTTTAAGAACTCCTACTAAATGATAATAAATCCAGTAGGTCAAGCAAAACCACTCAAAAAAACCCAACAAAACAAAACAAAAAAAAACCAGACCCAGGGAACATACTTAACATTGCTAAGGTTAAGATGTTACACAGTGAAACAGAAATATATGAAAAACTTAATTCCAAGGTTAAATTATAGTAAAAAATTTGTTTGTTGGACAGAAGTTTCAGAAAGCCTATTGATCAGGAAATAGTATGACATAGTAAACACTACTAGAAGATGACTGTTGAGAAACAAAAAATGCAGAAGTAGAAATGAAAACAAGTTTTCAACTAAAATAAAAACCAGAACAGTATCTTACCATCTCTCCTCCAATGGCATTGTCTTCCAGTACTGCTACCCAGTCCATACACTCAGGACTTTCATTGTATAGAGATATTTGTTCAGTCTTTGAAGACCCAAAGTAAACTGGTCCAAAGTTAATGCATTCCAATATATTTCCACAAGACACTCCTAGAACTTTAAGAACTTGCTCAACCACAACAGCTTTGATCCATACTTCAGTGCAGCCATGACCTTCCAACTCCACTCTGTCAGTAAGAGTAGCAAGCAGCAATAGGCAATGTAGAAAAGTGTTAGAAATAATCAGTTTGGTTTATATTAGAACCTATGCAAAACTGAACCAAATCAGAGCATTTAAATCACTGGCTTTGCCTAGATAAACAAAGCAGGGGGCTGGGGGGGTGGAGGGTGTACCTGACAATGTGATACCTAACAGGAATATTACCAATCAGGAGGAATCACACATTACATGGTGGAGTTTTGGGGAGCTTTTTGAGGTTTTCCCCTTTTTGAATGCTTGAAACAATAGGAATGACATCTCAAAAGACTCAGAGGTGTCCACAGGTAATACACTGCTTTTATTTCTGAGAATCTTTGTATCTAGATATCTATTTTGGCATATACTTAGTAATTTTCTCTTAGGCAACTGGAGTTAGAAGTTCATCTGAATAACCATAAAAGAACTGCTGCTGTTCTTGCCTGAATGTTTGATCTTGATGATACCACAAAACACCAAAGGACCATATAGACACTGTACAAAACCTTACTATTAGAATTGGAACTGGAACAAAGCGTATTTCTTGTTCTTGCACAAAAGAATCAAATTTAGTAATACAACTTATTGTTCTAATAGAATCAGCTATCCTTTTGAATAGCCTCTGAGCTGAAAAAGATAATAATAATAATAATAAAAAAAAATCTTTTATTTGAATAGTCGCATAAGTAACTACACAAGGGATCTGGGAGAGGATCTCAAACTCTCTAAATGTCGTCTTTCAACTTCTAAAGCATGATTACAGAATTCTCCAAGACAGAAAAGAAGTCTCAAAAAAATATAAGAGTAGATTCTTCTGAAAAGAATTTTGCTTCCACATAAAAGCAAAATGCTTAGAGGACAAGGTAAATGGAAACATCCAGGACATTTTCATCAAAACTGTACTATTTCTCAGTCAAATTCCTGTCAAATACCCACTGTAAGACTTTCAATATTAGCCTATTTGTTTAAATAAATGTATACACACATGTATACGCATATATTTAGATATTTGTGCAAAGCTTGACAAGGAAACTTGATATTTCATTTAGTCTAAAGGATAGAGCAATGACTACTAAGAAATGCCAAATTCACTGACAGAATTATATAGAATTTAAGGCAGGGGATGGGTGAAGGATGAAATCTGAGCTCTGTGTAGTTATGTTCTTTCCGTTTAATAGATAAACTACCTACTAGACTGCAGGAGACAGTAGCCATTTAACCAAGATGGGGTGAAGAAAACAGTGGTGGTAGCCTGGACAGCAAAGGCAAGGCAGAAAGCATGGCACTTTGCAACCAAGAAGTTGAAACTCAGTAATCAAAGAAAATATCATATGAAGGAGGATGTCACTGTGAGGCAAAATACAGATATTGTCTTCCCTGTCACTCTAATAGAATTTTTCTCCATTTCATTTCCTTTTCCAACATGCTACAAAAAGCAAAACCAGGAAGAACTGAACTTTAAGTCATACAACTTAATAATTTAAAAACAAAACAGGAACACACCCCCCCAAAACAAACAAACAAAAAAAAAACCCAAACAAAACCAACCACACCCTATTCACTATGATAAGAAAACAGGATTGAAAAGGATTTTCCAGATTGGTATCCACTTCCAAATTCTGGCACTTCCTAAAAAGTTTATATTAGTCACCATTTGAAGAGAGAGAACAGCATTTAAAAATAGTCTATTCTTAAAAGAGTTAGTGGTTGCAAAAATATTCTCTCCATTTAAAATAAGATACACCAAAGGACATCATAAAGTTTCCGAGACTCCTGAAATACAGAGTCAAAAGAAAAACAGCAAAGTTACAGAAGCTAAAAACAGTAGGGAACACAGGATGTGTAGAAAGGTGAAAGATACAAAAGCTCTTGGTTAGTTGTACACTGAGAGATGTGCAGACACCCTATATCATTATGGCTTATGAGAGATCTTAAATAACACAGCCAGATACACAATTTATGCATCGCTGTTCTGTGGAGATAATATAATTGTTGAATTAATTTAATAAAAAGAAAGTGGAGGATAGCAACTGACACCTAGGAGCTTTACTTCATTAGAGAAACATTCATATTAAAGACTAGAATTAACAACAGACAAATATGTAATTTATAGAGCTGGTTTTCTACAGTCATACACTCACTTTATCACTTCTTTGATGATCCTGGGTACATCTGTGCAGATATCCACTTTAACCATCTTTATAGATTTTGGCTCTACCACTCCACTGGTAGGTTCTATGTTAAGCAGGACAACCCCGTCATATGACATTTTAAATGTACCTAAATGAAACAGAAAAATAAACAGAATGTTACATAACATAAAGTTGTAGATTTATATCCTTCTATTATACATTTGGAATTACAAAACGCATAATGCAGGTATTCACAAGCAGTACATTTTCCTATGGAAACAGGAAACATGGAGTTAATCTTTTTCTAAACTATTTCTAACACAGAGTAGATCATTATTTCCAGGTTTTCTTTAAATATTACAATATGTCCAATGCTACTTTGCAAGTTGTGATTGTAATAGAAAAGGTACTCACATTCCAAACAAAAGTGACTATATCACAAAGCAGCTGTAGGTAACATTTTGTAAGTTAACGGGTATTTTATACACAGCTCTAGGCAGCTACCGTAGCCAGAAAGTTAAGTGCATATTGCAGGTAGCAATAGTTTTCATGATTTGGTATGTATACAACACAGTTTATTGCAGAAGAGAACAGCGAACATTTCTAGATTATGAAAATATTTTTTAAAATGTGAAAAAATTATTAAATATGTATTTAACCAGCAGCACTAATTATCTGTCATTATATCACAGATAGCAAGAAATTGTTTCAAATGCTGTAGGAAAAACGCAGTATTTGACCTCAGATGATAATCTCCGATATGTGATCAGAAGCAGGAACAAAGGACTTACTTTACGCATGGGATGACATGTGAAATGCCATCCTTGAGTCACAGGCCAGCATACAGCACGTCCTGCTGATACAATTTACGTGCTGCCCGTTAGCGTGACCTGCTGTATGTGATTTACAGAGCCTACAGAAACACAGATTCAGCAGCTATTCCTTTGTCTGCCCTCCATACATTCTTCACTAACCACCGCTTTCATTCTAATTTTGCCTGTGTCCAATCCTGCAAAACTCCATCGTGCAGCCTGTATGCATCATGCAACAGAGTTTATAAGTAGAATCAGCTCCTATACAACATGAGAAATTTCACATCATGCAAATTAGTTGTAGATGCGTATGTAATGTAGGCTATACCATTTTCTTTATCTAATCATCATTCCTCAAAGAAAGAGGTTAGTATGTATGAGTAAGAGCTGATTATATAAACTACATACTACCTCTTTGAACTGACTAGAAAAATACAAGTTTTCCTTTGGTTTTTGGAAAAAGATAAAAAAATAAATAAAATTCTGTTCTAACTAGACAGCCATTTGAATTTTTTTTTAATATTACAAGCCATCTCTGTGTTTCTACAATCATGCATTTTCTGTTGGTACAATATTTCTTGTGGAAATCTATGAAGCAAATGTTCACACAAATTTGGCCTAATGCAAATAAAGATACCTTGTGATATAATAAACAGCTGTACAAGTGAGGAACAAAAATAATTAACTGCCTTAAATTTGTTGTTTGAAACTCAGCATAGTTGCCACCCCTGGAAAGGTGTCTGCATTTTGTCCAGTGGAAAAGGCAGTCAAATAGGTTACTTGGATCATATAAGCATTCTTACGCTCCATTCTCCATGTTTCTTATGCTCCTTGGAAGGGTCCCTCACAGAAGTTGAAGGATGTGCGTGTTTTGAAAGCAGTATGATTTCAAAAGCTATGGCAGCAAGATAAAAGACCTCTCATTATCTTCTGGTAACAAATACGGTTCAATTCCCATACTAGAGGACTTTAGCTCTGATAGCTCTGAAAGTACAGAGAACTTGTAGTTGTTTATTTAATAGTTATTGGGATGACAGAATCACAAAGACAACAAAGCAAAAGCAGACCTGATTTGCTACTATTATGTTGGGCATAGTAAGGCAATGAGCAAATGTTATTTTCATATCTTTCAAAAGTAGAAAACTCCTAAAATTTGGAAAAGTTCTAAACTCATTTTTCTTCCCTACGCAGAAACATAGTACTGCCTACAGAAGCAATGGGCCATTTATAGAACCTTTAGTTACAATACTCATAATCTGCATAACCTGGAACTTCGGTTAATTTCTACTTGGTCACTGAAGTGTTAACTTGCATAAAATCACATTTTCTGAGAAAATAAAATCTTTGTATAATCTAATGCATACTAAATACTTACCTGAAGCTGATCCATGGTTAGCAATGCTAATCTCTTTACTAATTATTTTACCGTTTGCAATCACTGCACCAAAATTAATCTCTGACTCAATTTCCAGATAACAGCACGGAATTAATCTGCAGAGAAAAGACACAGTTAGTTTCCCAAAAATTTAAAATACCTTTACTTTTTTAAAGAAATTTGATTAAGCACTCCAGTGGAAAAGAGTTCTGTCTTCAGCAGTATAGTGTACACAGGGAAGATGTAAAAAAGATCTAGCTATCTATCAAGCTGTTTAGTTTAATGACTAACTACTATAGCTTTAAAACAATACAGCTTTAAACAATTAGTCAAAATGGAATGTATACATTTCTATTTAATTTTAAATACTTTATTATAGTACAAAGAACTTTAAAACAGACAGAAGTGCATAACGACACAAGTTATTTATATTATTTATTTAATAGCCTCAGCCAGCATGACAACATTACTGTATTGGGTATTGCTTAGCCATAATGAAAAGATCACACTTGCTTCAGGAAACTTGTATTTTAAAGGCACCAATTTCCAATACCTCTGTTATCACATAAAACTGTGTTTGAAATCAATTGGAATTTTACATCAGCACAGCAGTCTATGTCCTCTTAACCACAAACAGGAACATGCAGGAACAATTGCATCTCATGATGTGCATTATATGCAGTACAGAACACTAAATGCAGAAGGAAGATAAATCTTCGTGGCCAAGTGACGTGGTTTAGCCCCAGCCAGCAACTAAGCACCACACAGTCGCTCGCTCACTCCCCCTACCCTGATGGGACTGGGGAGAGGATCAGAGGAGTAAGAGTGAGAAACACTCCTGGGTTGAGGTAAGAACAGTTTAATAATTGAAATAAAGTAAAATAGTAATGATAATAATAACAATATAATAATAATAGTAGTAGTAATAATAATAATATACAAAGCAAGTGATGCACAATGCAATTGCTCACCACCCACTGACCAATACCCACAGTTCCCAAGCAGCTATTGCTGCCCCCCGGACAAGTCCCCCCATTTTCTATACTGAGCATGACGGCATGTGGTATGGAATAGCCCTTTGGTCAGTTTGGATCAACTCTTCTGGCTGTGCCCCCTCCCAGTTTCTTGTGCACCTGGCAGAGCATGGGAAGCTGAAAAGTCCTTGACTGGCATAAGCAGTACTTAGCAACAACTAAAAACATCAACATTATTCTCATCCTAAATCCAAAACACAGCACTGTGCCTGCTACTAGGAAGAAAATTAACTCTATTCCAGCCAAAACCAGGACACCAAGCTAGGTGGACCCTGTCCATATAATCTATAGCATAAGGGACGGAGGGAGGAGGCGGGAAAGGAAAGGAGAGAGGGGGAGGAAAAAAAATTAATCAGGAAATGCAATAAAAGAAGTTATTCTTAGGAATGTTAATACACTGAGTTTAATTCTCTTTAATAATTTATTGTAATGCAAAAAATAAGTTAGTATATTCTTGAAAGAGATGGTCTAGACCAGCAGGATGTGGCAAAAAACCCCAACCAAACAATAAAAATAACCGAAACCAGGAAACAGCTATCAAGATTAGAGTACACTTGAAAAGACTGTAAAAACTCCACATGTTCCAAGTATTCAGATATTCTTCCACAAAACTTAGTTAGAAAAATGAAACACAAGTATCACTCCTCTCAAGATCCAAACGTATAACTTCCCAGGTTGACAGGACTAAGCATAAATTCTAAGTGCAATGAGATTTTCTAATAGATATGGACCTGTGCAAAAAGGGAAATAGTCAAGTTAAAGGGTTTGGGGTTTGTTTTTTGATTGAGAGTTGGTTGGTTTGGTTTGCTGGTTTGTTTTTTTTATGAAGATGGAATTTACCTCTGGAAATGCCTGATTTCCAATATTTTCTTAATATTTTTTAAAACAAAAGAATTAATTCTTAATTATTATATTTCAAAAAAGGAGTTTGGATGCAGAGTTTCAGTTAATCATTAACAAAAAAAAAAAAAAAATCCCGCAAAACCCCCAAATTGCAACTGGCTTATTTGAAACACATTCCCAAACGGAATCCCAAAGGATTTTCTATGGCTATCAAATATTTATATAACTAAATCATTACACTTGTATTACTAAGCACATCATAAGTTCATGGTGCTGTAGAGATTAAGCTGAGAATGTTGATTGGTGTCCAAAATTTACACCAAATACATGAGCCACAAATCAATATGATTAGTCACTGGATCTAGCCTCATGAGCCAGGCAAATACATAACAGCTATTTTACTTGCAAACCAAACAACTGTGGTATTGATGTCAAAGCACAACAGAAATAAAATTCTCTTGGTGGCATTTTTTACCAAATAAATGGTTACAAAAATAAGTGAAGTGTTACAGCAGTTTAATGTTGTATGGGAAACTAACCTTTCCTACACTCTCAGTGAATCTCATCCCAGACTAAAGATTATCTTAAAACGAACAGTAGATGTGATTGAAGGAATCACACAAATTGTTGGCAAAAAGGTTAAACCTTTTCACACTTTTATCCTAAACCACCCATGAACTTTTCTTTCAATAAAATTCTACAGACAAAACATGCAGACCCACAATTTCTACAAATTCATAGTGAATTATATATATGTACATATCACCCTATAACCCATACAGAAATTAAAGCTGAAAAACAATATAATTTCAAAGAAAGAAGACTACAAATAAGCTAATATGCAAGAGAAAAGTGGCAGAGATTTAAAGAGGCCAGTCCAAATAATATCACCAAGTTCCAAATATTTCTTATACAATAACACATCATCTTGGATTGTATTTATGAATTTTATGAACTTACTGTCACATGCTTTAAAATTTAATTCTGTTTTGCAGATATACAACTCTTCAAACGTACTGCCAGTACACAATCTGAGTGACATTCACCAGAGACAATGAAACTAAACACTATATTTGAGTTGGCCAAAAATCAGAATTTGTCACTGATAAGAAATTTTTTTTGTATGTCACAAAAATATATAGCAATTTGATGTAAATCTAAGCATAGCCTTAATAATTTTTAAAATCACTTATTTCAATTCTTGATATTTTAGGAAAAGTAGCATTAGTGTTTACTACATTATTATTATTGACATATCATAAATAGTGGAAATAATATAATGTTATTAAAAATGTGAAAAAAATGCACAAACTTGCAAATAGGAAGTGAAAAAGACATATCAGAATTAAATAAATACAGGGGAGGCGGGTGTCTGTCCCCCAAAACAGAACATTGCAAATATTTCCTTGAAAATATTTTCAGGTTATTCCATCAAATTAAACACTTCTGTGGACATTTCATAGTGACAATGCAATTTTTACCAAAAGAATTCTTTTGACTAGTATTTTTCAACCAGTGCTACATTATGTACATTATTTTCTCAAAATGGTTAATGATGCATTTTAAACTATGTTTGTATAGAAAAAAATATTATGTATTTAGTGACCCTTAAGTGCAATAATTGAATATCATCTATCTATAAGCAGCAGACATGCATGACAAAATACATTTGTGAAAAGACTGATTAAAAAAGAAAATAAAGTATATTTGTTTTTTCCAAACCAAATTATTATAGCCTGTCATTTTTTTTCCCTGCAAAAGCCAGTTAAACATGAAGATTTTAGATACTTAACAATCTACCACAAGTCCTTTCCAGAAAGGAGTCACCAGGAGCATTATCATCCTAAGTGGTCTTACTTCCACAATATTACCCCAATAAAAATTTTAATTTCTAATTTTTTTTAAAAAAATTAAACATAAAATCAGTAGTAAAAAGAGAAAAATAAAAAAT